TCCAAAAGTTTAAGAATTGTTTGTAGATAAAACTACGCATTTCCATTCTTATCAAATATCTATCTATCTACATGTCCTATTAGATCCATAAGTAATTTTAATAACAGGCCATAACACTGCCTTTGGGGGGGGGGCACAAGACAGGGTTCTTATTCTCTCATTTTAACTGACATTTTATATATGGTTTTCCTTTTGAACGAAATGGATTGAGAACAGTGGTGAAGTTCAGGAGTAATCTTGGCTCTTTATAATGGCTGAGAGTTACTGAATGCTTAATGTGTACCCCACACAGTTCTAAACATTTAACATGGATTAACTACTGTAATCCTCATGACAAATTCCCAGCTGTGTGATCTTGAGCAAGTTATTTAGCCTTTCTAAGCCTTGATTCCATTTCCAGAGAAAGAAACCGAGGCTTAAAAGGTTAAGTAATATGCTGAAGTTCAGTTAGCTGGTGAAAGGCAGACCTGGCCCTTGATCTCAGCAGGCTGGCACCCAGGGTGACAGCCCCTGGTGTCCCCCAGGGATCACTAACTAGAGACCAGACCAAACTAGACGCTCCCAAAAGTATCTTGTAGCAATCACACTCGCATTCACTTGCTCTAGAAGATTCTTCTAAAGTTGAAATGCACAAATGATAATGAATAATAAATGCATGAATTCTTTTCCATATTACTACTCTAATCTTTGAGACATCAGTTTTCAACCTAGGTGGCCTATAAGCTCCTTTGAAAGGCAACCCAAAGCTTATAACAACTTTCTCAATGGTTCCAAAAGAAGGTTCTGATGACTTAAGGATCTTAAAAACATTTCTGTGTTTACAGCTAATGTATGACTAAAAAAAAAAAAAGATGATAAATCTCAAATTAAATCAACACCATACATCAAATCCCTTTTGTGACAAAGAAACCAGGCATAAGGTGATTGAAAATAGAAAGCCATATTTTCAAGAGAGTTACAGAAAGATAAGCAAATAGAGATATACCAGGTTCTTAAAGAATGATTAAAAAGGAATCTTAAGGGGCACCTGGGTGGCTCAGTCAGTTAAGCATCTGCCTTCGGCTCAGATCATGATCCCAGGGTCCTGGGATTGAGCCTCCCATCGGGCTCCCTGCTCTACGGGAAGCCTGCTTCTCCCTCTCCCACTCCCCCTGCTTGTGTTCCCTCTCTAACTGTGTCTCTCTCTGTCAAATAAATAAATAAAATCTTTAAAAAAAAAAAAGAATCTTAAAAGACAATTTGGCATCACTGAAATTCTGTACCATGGCTCCAGCCCACCTAACTCATGCCTTTCCAAAAGGAGTGAGAGAGGCAGAGCAAGTCATTCAGCAAGGCTTACATTTACAGAAAACACACGGGCTTTTAGAGCCAGAGAGACCTGGATTTGAATCCCAGTTCTGCAGTTTTCAAGGAATGTGGTCTTGAAAGTTACTTAAACTCACAAGCCTCAGTTTCTGCATCTGCTAAAATGGAGTAACTACCTCCTTGCAAGGTTATTGAGGGTTACAGGTAATGTGTGTAACATGCTTGGCACATCGTAGGTTCTCGATAAACTGTAACTAATAATAACAACAAGGATGGTGTTAATAAAAACAATAAAAAAAAAAATACTGCCAACAGTAGAGAAAGTGGAAGCATGATGGCTAAGACCATGGGCCTGGAGTCAGACCACCTCAGTTTTGATTCTGGCTTTCCTTTCCTCATGGAATTCACATCTTATTGAACAAAGACGGACCTCAGTTTCTCTCTTTTCTCTCACAATATAACATCTCCATGGCTTTACTTTGGCATCTTAGGCTCTTCATTTGAACAAGTTACTTAACTTGTCTCTGTACCAGTTACCACAGCTATAAAATGGGGCTAATAATAGTATCTGCCTCATATGCCTGTGGTAAGAATAAATGAGTTCATCCGTGTAGAGCTTAGAATCCTGTCTGACCCTGACACAATATAAGAACTCAATAAATGCTAGCTGTAGCCGCTCTTATTTTAGTCATTGTGTGAAGGACTCCAAAAGCAGGACCAACCACCTGGATAAAAAATGCCCACCCATAATGTGGGTTAGCAAACTGAAAAAAGAGTACGAAAACTCCTGAGGATAGCAAGACAGCACTTCAGACTAATGGCTGGAATAACATAACATGAGAAGTGATCTCAAGGGCAAAATCAAAATTAAACTACAGATTACAAGGAGGTATGACCAATTCACTGGTAATCCTACTAGGGATCCAGGTGCTTCACTGTAAAAGGAGTTTGTGAATATCACTTTTAAAACTCAAACCTAAAAAAAATTTTTTTTAAAGGTGAAGAACAAAAAGAATGAGGCAAAGGGATACATGTTACCTTCCTCCCTCCTCTGAACATGTTGGTCTCCCCTGCCTTGCCATATTTCTAAATCCTTTTTGCAAAGGCCAGGAAAGCAGCACAAATCCCACTGTGTCACTTCCCAACATACTATTTAAAAAATTCGGCCACCTAGCAAAAGTAATAAAGAAGGACCGCTGTACCCATAAACCATCCAAGAAATAGCTACCCAACCAGAGCATTCCAATTCGCAAAGATAACATATAATCGTGCTGCTTTGGGTATGGCTCTATGAAGAGGGATGGGGAGGTCGGGATTCAAAGTGCTGTCTCCAGATCTCATGGATTAGACTGATGACATCTGAACTAGGGTGAGGAACAGAGTGCCCCTAATTGCTGTCTGTACTCCAAGCCCTCTAAAGCACCCACACTTTCTTGCACAGGGCCAGAAAAATGAGGCAACAACTCAGTCAAGATCCTTTGGGTCTCCAGGAAAAGCAGCAGGTCTGAACTTGAAATAGCCCATTTTATGGTATGGGGTGAGAAACAAGAGGCATGTTTTTTAATAGTCTTGTGTGGTTGTGGCTCATTCTACAAGAACAGTAACTTCAGCAGCCACTTCATTATATTTCTACTGTAAATGACACAAGCCTGAGCCAAGTCCTCACCAAAACACCCTCCAGAATTCAGTTGGGGTTAGGTCATCTGCAGTCTATTGACAACTGCTGAACTCAAAACTCCTACCAAGGCATCTCAGCAACAGTATGTGTCCTGCCACTAATGAGGCTCTTTTTCCATGAATAATGAATAAGAACATCATCTCTGTTGCCAGGTACACAACATAAACAAAGCTCAACACAAGGGCCCTGGTATGGTGAGTCTGTCCATTCGCAACAAAGGAATTTTGCAAAGTGTGAGCCAAGTTTTAGTGGAGGGTGGGACGGGCTGTTATAACAAATAATGTGAACATATGTTATCAGAATCTAATAAATCAGTGTTTGGTTGTTGTGGAGCCGAGGCTGTGCAATGGGATAGACAGAGATGACAGAAAGCTCCAAATGAGTTCATTTCTCTATTTTACAATCAGTCTTGTAACAGGAAGCTGATGATTTCTGTAATGAACTGAGATCGTTGTGAAAGGAGCCTTATGAGACTTGAGACATCAAAGGTTCTACCAGTTAGAACTTTTTTCTTAAGCCTTGGTGTACTAGGTTGAGCACAGGTCAGCATCAGGGATGAGAACACCAGAACCTCGCTACGGCACTGATGGCTACAGGGTAGCATCTGGAAAAAGTGCATGGCCACCTAAACCCAGGTGCATGGGACTGGGTTCCTTTTGCACCAAAAGACCCTCAGTGTATGAGCATTTTGCTTATAAGGTAGTCTTATGGCTTAGATTCCCAAGGTCAGCCGAATAGTGAGATTCCAACAAATAAACAGAGAACAAAAGTGAGCTGACATGAAGGCCAAACAGTCTTTATTTTGTTTACTATGAAGTATGCCACAAATACTTTTCTCTCTTCCTAAAATCAGTTCCATACTAGGTAGCATATATCTTGTTAAACAGGGCCAAGTATGCACAGGCCAAGTAATGCCATCACTGGCTGAGGGCTTGTAGTTTCCACTGATTTGAGCAAGAATTAACAACAAAACAAAACCAAGTCTTCCAATGCTTCAGTTTCCCCAACTGTAGGAGGTAACAACTCCAACCTGCTTCACAGATCCCTTATGAAGAACTGTGCGTTAAAATAAAATAGTTCGTTCTATTAGTTTGAGGAATTCCTGGAAATTTTGACCTGAACAGTTCTTTAAATGTACTGAAGATGCTTACTAAAAAAAGAATAGTTTACAAAGCAAAAAATGAGCATGTGTAAAAGTAATCACTCCCTAACATCCATTTTAGAAGCAAACAAATGAAATAAGGTAGAATAATAATCCTGCAGAGATTCCAAGAGCTAGGTCATGGCAGGGAATTATGTGGATAACTCTTATGCAATTAATCAAATAGTGAATTCACAGAAAATGGCAATATAACACAAGAGTTTTGAAATCTCTAAGATGTGTCAGTTTATTTTTCTGGTTTATTAAGAACAGGCAAAATGAAATAAGCTCATGGGTAAGTAACGTGAATGGCGAAGGGACTTCAAAGCCCTTCGCGTGCAGAAATGGGGGGTATTCTGCTAATGAGGAGAAGACCTGGGATGAAGGACACATTCTTTTATCTTCAAATATTTCCTGAACTGTCACAAGAGCTGTAGTAAGGGCTACCAGCTGTTCTATATTGCTTCAAAGGATCAACATGACCAACCAGTAGTGATCACAGTCATCCCATGTGGGGTCACAGCAGGAGCTCGAACAGTTGGGGCTGTTCCCACAGGATACGTGTTGCCTGCAGAGGTTCTGAGTGATTCCTGACAATGGGGGCAATAAAGCAGACCATGCCTAACTCTTGTTGACAGGAAGAGTAGAAGGGAACCTATGGGGAGGGAAGGAGAGGCATGCGGCACAGACCCCCACTGACCAACCATAAAACTCTAAGATTTTATAAAATGCCATCATAAAACTGTAGGTAAAAAAAATCTGTAAGTGGGTAGTTATTAAAGTCCTATACTATTTGAAATGATCTTTCTGATCTAATCACTGAAATATATCAAGAAGAAAAAAATACTCAAGTAGATAAAATACCCAAGAACTCACCATCATACTTTGCTAAGACGGCCTGAACATCAGCATACGCTTGTAGTTCCAGAAGAGCTTCTAAAAGGTTTTCATGGATGTTGAACATGCTCAGCAAGGGGAACTCCTTCATTAACTAGGAAAGAAGAAATCAAGGATAATTAATATGTATTTCTTACTTTCTAAAAGTATAACAAGTACTGAATTGTAATACATTTATATGATAAAAAAGTATAATACAATTTTAGATAATACTGAATTTTAGGTTACAATGAATTTTAAGCATTCATGCCAATTATTATTTTGTAAAGAATTAAAGGCTCAAATCTTTTCCCGCTATTTTGGAAAAATGGCAACTTCGAATTTGTGAGAACCTAACATGGAAGAAAATCCAAAAGAGACGGGGTTTGATAAAAACTGAGGAAGATGCTTAGAGGTAGCACATAGTACTGTTAAAATATGATAGAGGCAAATTAGGTAAAAGTTGAACACTATCTCATAGGCATTGACAGTTTTACTTCATTAAGAGCAGTTTGATGAAAGCCAGAGAACAGAGAGGGAGGCAAGCAGGCACTATTCTTTTGAGCAGCCTGGTGACAAAGTTATGGAGAAAAGGGAGGAAAATACGGGTTGAGAACATGTGCATGTAGCGATAGAGAGTGGTAGAAGGGAAAGATGTTCATGAGTTCCTGCATGATGGCCTCAAAAAGACAGGATTCAAGAGCATTTTCTGAAACTGAGGGAAGAGGTGACAGGGAGTAAGTTTGAAGATGGGGGTGAAAGTACAGAACAGCCATAAAGAAGAGAACTCTTGGGAAACAATTTAGGATTGCAAAGGCCATCTTGAGGGCTTAGCAAATTTGGGATCATGAATTCACAGAGGCTACAATTAGCATGCTTGTCAAGTTTTAGTTAGCAGTGCTCACCAGCCCAGGTACAGTAGTAAACATGTCAGATAATGAGGGTGAACCTAGGCAGATTGAATTGGATTCAAAAGAAAGTTGAGGAGCAAGGAGAGTTGGCTAGAATGAGGAAAGAATGATTAAAGGAACGGCCTAAAGGTTTTAGACAAGAAGGGGAACAGGAGGGGTCCAAAGGGAGTTAAAAGATACAATATTGAACTTCATTGGAAAGCAAAGAAAGAAAGGACCAAGAATTTCCAAGTAAAATCTATCTTAGAGAAAGATAACCAGGTTCTTTATACAGCAAAATCATATACATATATGGTATATATACATGTGTATATATGCACTGATGTATATGTACATGTATATGTCCTTTATTTAATCTTTTATATGGATAACTGTTTTCTATTATAACACAATGCCCTCTTAAAAAGTGGTAACTCTTTTTTGATGTCAACATCTTTAAAGCAACTGTGCTGAGAAAAATAATACTCAAAAATAGGCTAACACACTGTTAAGTAAGAAACCAGTGGATATGTTGCCTTGACTATTCACTTCTTCCTACATTAGGAACATTTGCCACATTGTCTTGTTTTTTAAAGCCAAGAATCATTTAGCATATCTCTAAAAACAAATAATTTTCTGCAGCTCCAAAGAGCATCATATTACCAGCAAAAAACACCTATCAAAATGATTATGTATTCAATAAGACTGTCTGAACCCTCTAGGGACAGCCTGCAGTATTTTCATTGCTAGTAAAGGAAGTGAATAAGACTATACCACACATTGTTGATGTTCTGTAACCAATAAAAGTATTTCTTGTTCTGGTTCACTTTGATTCTGGTTGACATCACCCTTTGATTTTTTTTCCTCTTTCTAATTAGAGCTTGTTAGAATTAAAGTTCCCTGTCATTCAGCATTTGGCAACACAATAAAGACACTCTTTAAACTGCAACATTTAAACATTTACCATTTTTGACCAATTCTTCAGGTAAAGCTCAAACTTCAAGGACATCAGTCATATTCTGAAATTTTTAAACTGTAATTCCAAATACTAGCATGCTGAAGCTTAAACACTGAGAGGGGAGTCCAACTAAGAGCCAATGAGGAGTCTCGGCCTGTTTCAGCAGAACCGGAAGAAGGATGCTAGCAGTTTGGGCAGGAGTGCTTCCATTGGAAGCTTGGAGAGAGTATACAGTGTCTAAAAACATAATCACCAACAAAAACATTTTAAACATGGCAAATAGCAAATGTTAGAGAACTAATCAAAGTCATATGACAATGTGGAAATCTAGCTTTCCTTGTTTCAACAGACGCAAGGAAAAGTGAACCCCCACTGCCCCATCTCACTCCAGCCATCACCTCGCGCTCCCAGGCCCTCACAACAAGCTCTCTTTGAAACAAGCCCTGCACACTCGCCTCCCTTGGCTCCCTTCTTTTCTCACCGCATGGCTGCAATCTGGCTTCCTCGGAATCTGCTCATCCCACATTTACAGGTGACTGAAACTGCTCCTATGGAAACCCTCCAGTCCTTTCCTTGCTTGACCTCTGCAACATTTGACAGTTTGATGACTTTTTCCTTGAAACTCGTGTCTCTTTTGGCTTCCTCAACATCATTCTCTTCTGGATTCTCTGTACATAGTTCCTCATTCCTTCTCTAGTTTCCCCCAGGTCTCCTACTTAGGAGTAAGTAGCCTCCCTGGTTATGTCCAGTACTCTTCTCATAAGCACCCTGATACCCAGGACTGCTCTTGGGCCCAGGGTCTCAATATCACCACCTTTGTGAAGAGGCTCCCACGTCCTCGCTCCTGCTCTGACCTCTCTCCTAAGCTATTAAATCAATTTGTAAACTATCTCCTTGACAGTTTTACCTGATGCATCTAATACTGGTTTCACAAATTCCTCCTTCCCAAGCCAACCCTTCAAACTGGAGAAGAGAGCCACTGATCCCTGTAGACTCTTTGCCCTCCTAACTAAAGCCACCTTAGAGGTCCCTAAACTCTTGAACTAATATGTACAAAATGCTAGTAGCTTTCAGCAAGTTCCCAGAGAGCTCTGTTATACAAACAAACAACAAACAAGCAAACACCTTAAGAATCTTAGCATGTCCTCTTTTCTCTGACCTTGCTGCCAATGACTTAGTTTATACCCTTATATTTGGCCTAAATTGCTCAAATAGCATCTTTTCTCTGCTTGCCTCGGGATCACCTCTTTCCAATCTACCCTTCACACCACTGTCAGAATGGCTTTCTTTTCTTTCTTTTCTTTCTTTCTTTCTTTCTTTCTTCTTTCTTTTTCTTCCTTCCTTTTAATTATGTATGTTAATCATCACACATTACATCATTAATTTTTGATGTAGTGATCCATGATTCATTGTTTGCGTATAACACCCAGTGCTCCATGCAGAACGTGCCCTCTTTATACCCATCACCAGGCTAACCCATCCCCCCGCCCCCCTCCCCTCTAGAACCCTCAGTTTGTTTCTCAGAGTCCATAGTCTCTCATGGTTCGTCTCCCCCTCTGATTTCCCCCCCTTCATTTTTCCCTTCCTACTATCTTTTTTTTTTTTTTTTAACATATAATGTATTATTTGTTTCAGAGGTACAGGTCTATGATTCATCAGTCTTACAAAATTCATAGAGCTCACCATAGCACATACCCTCCCCAAGTCCATCACCCAGCCACCCCATCCCTCCCACCCCCCACCACTCAGGCAACCCTAAGTTTGTTTCCTGAGATTAAGAGTCTCTTATGGGGGGCGCCTGGGTGGCTCAGTCGTTAAGCGTCTGCCTTCGGCTCAGGTCATGATCCCAGGGTCCTGGGATGGAGCCCCACATCGGGCTCCCTGCTCCGTGGGAAGCCTGCTTCTCCCTCTCCCACTCCCCTGCTTGTGTTCCCTCTCTCGCTGTGTCTCTCTCTGTCAAATAAATAAATAAAATCTTTAAAAAATAAAATAAAATAAAAAAATAAATTAAAAAAAAAAAGAGTCTCTTATGGTTTGTCTCCCTCTCTGGTTTCATCTTGTTTCATTTTTTCCTCCCTTCCCCTATGGTCCTCTGTCTTGTTTCTCAAATTCCTCATATCAGTGAGATCATATGATACTTGTCTTTCTCTGATTGACTTATTTTGCTCAGCATAATACCCTCTAGTTCCATCCACGTCGTTGCAAATGGCAAGATTTTGGTTTTTTGATGGCTGCATAATATCCCATTGTATATATATACCACAACTTCTTTATCAGAATAGCTTTTCAAATATACATTCCTGAGTCCATCACACTCCTGCCTAAGAGGCAACCATGAACATGGCCCCAAGGAAATAGGCAGATGGGAATACAAATTTACAAACAAGTCTGTTTATCACAACATTATTTATAAGAGTGAAAAATGCACAATGGATCGTGGATCACCACATCAAAAACCAATGATGTATTGTATGTTGACTAACATAACATAATAAAATTAAAAAAAAAAAAAGAGTGAAAAATGCAGGGTTCCTGGGTGGCTCAGTCAGTTAACCAACTCTTAATTTGGCTCAGGTCATGATCTTGGGGTTGTGGGATCAAGCCCGGTGTTGGGCTTCCCCCTCAGCCTGCAGTCTGCTTAAGATTCTCACTCCTTCTCCCTCCGCCCCTCCCCCCCACTGCTTGTGCTCTCTCTCTCTCAAATAAATAAATAAATCTTTAAAAAAGATAGTGAAAAATGCAAGCAACTTAAAATTTAACCCATGATGAGGCATTCAAGTAGACACAGTCATCTTTTGGGCTACTATATGTCAACATTAATAGTTAAGAAATCAAATTATTTTTAACGACACAGCCTAGAAAATGCTGACACACAACATTACAAAAGAAAAAGCAGGATACAAACTCTATTTTGCAATAAGGTCATGCTTTTCTTCTGTATCTATGCATAGACCCATACCTGGTTAGAGATATGGCAAAATGTTTTAAAATTGGTTATCTATGGTTAGTGAGATTAAAGATGATTTTTATTTCTTCATATTTTCCATATGTTCTAATATTTTTAAAAGGAATGTATATGTACATTCTATAAATTGGGGAGGAAAAACTACTTTTAAGAATATTGGTTTCTCTGTAAAAAAGAATGAAACCTTGCCATTTGTAACAATATGGATGGATCTAGAAAGTATAATGCTAAGTGAAATAAGTCAGAGAAAGACAAATACCATATGATTTCACTCATATGTGGAAGTTAAGAAACAAAACAAA